TAATCTGCTCCCTTGTTTATTTTCTTTTAGATTGGCATAAAAGCTGAGTGGCGGCTGCATCATGGTCGGCTTGTCCTCTTTTTGGGGAATAAGAATACTGCTCCACTTGCATCAGTCCAAGCAGTAATATTGCCTCCATCACATCTAAGAATGGAACTGTCGTTAGTACCAGAGACTATTCCTCCACGTGCACAGGTTGTATTCCTTTTTCTGGTTAATTTTGCTATTTGACATTCTGCATTTTCTTCTTTGCGATCTTTGTTTGGAAATTGGAAGACATTTTGCCTTTCTCTTCCATGTGATTTTTGTTAAATTATACCCTTACCTCAAGATTGCTGTACACTTCACCAGGTTCAATGTCCGCTTGAAGTGGTCAACCTGAGTCCAAGTAGGGATGTAGCTGTTCTTGATTTTTCATACAAGTTTGGGACCCATATGGTAATTTTCTTACCTCAAGTTGCAATAAACGGTGTTACTAATTCATGGCTAACAATATGTATTCCTGCTGCACATTGAAAGGTCAATATTAAACTTCGGCTTCCTGCCGTCTTGAATAAGTTTCTTCAGCCTATATCCATTTCCGCTGAAGAATTTTTTCCACAGTGGAGATCACTCTCTGGACCACCATTGAAGCTCCAAGAAGTGGTTTGTGCTTTTAAAACACAGATTTATGCTCTTTTTTTAGGAATCAGCTATATACCATAAGGAAACACAAATCTGACCATGTTTAGCTATGTAATTGATCAGGTTAGAGGTGTAAGACCAATGCCTCTCATTGAAATGGCAAACCTATTCAACAGTTACCGGTTGATGGTTTGTCCCGGACTAGTGAGTGAACATTTCTTAAAATGATCCTGATTTTTTATATTTTAATATTACGGTGGGGTTCTAGTGCCACTGGAGTACGGTGCCACTCCGGTGCCACTGGCATTTTGGGGCACCTCCGGTGCTACGTTCGCAAAATTGACGGTTCCTACCCCCCCTAATCCACCCTCTAAACCCCCCACCCTACCCCCGCCCCTGCACCCCCACCCCAACCCCGCCGTAAGCCCCCCACAAAATGTGTGGCTATTATGAACGCATAATAGCCACACATTTTGTGGGGGCCTTACGACGGGGTTGGGGTGGTGGTGCATGGGCGGGGGTAGGGTGGGGGGTTTAGGGGGTGGATTAGGGGGGGTAGGAACCGTCAATTTTGCGAACGGAGCACCGGAGGTGCCCCAAAATGTCAGTGGCACCGGAGTGGCACCGTACTCCAGTGGCACTAGAACCCCACCGTTAATATTATACCAATACAGACATCATTGACAAACCGTACATTTGCACTCTGATTCTTAATTATTCAGGATCCTAATACAAATAATCTGATTGCTAGCACAACCTTTTTTTCAGAGAGTACACGGGCCATGTTGTGTTTGGTAAGCATTACAAAGTTTCTTTTTTAATTTCCTCAACAGATTCATTAACACTAATTCTAGAAATGGATACTAAATCCATCCATCTTATTTATTCATGTCATCATGTGTAGAGATGATTAAACAGTGTTAATAGATAATATTGGCAGTACTTTAGCACATGTATTGTAAATTTTACTCCTATGACAGTTGATGGATTGTAGAAATACCGATGACGATATTGTCATGCAGGTTATAATACTCACTTTTAATCAACAGAAAAATAAAGCATGAGTCTATGTGAACACTTCCAATTGATTGATTGATTGTCGAGGTTCTTTTTTATGAAAATTGTGATCCAATTGATTGACAAAACACTCACTTTTACTGCTAGTGCATTTAAAATTTTTGTTCATAAGATTCATCTACAACTATTGTACACAGGTAAGAATAGAAACAGATCCGGCTGATAGAACTCAGCTGCGTATGACAGTTGCCTCTGGAGATCCAACTGTAACTTTCGAGTACGTCCAATTTATTTCAGATACACTGTCCTATAAGATAGGAATAGCTTGCGCTTTCAGTTTCCCCCCTCAACATGTCCATCAAAATTTAACATTGAATCATCAATCATCGTCCTCCTTCGTATAGGTTGAAGGAGTTCATCAAGGAACAATTAGTTGTGGTCCCCACAGCAGCTCCGAGGCCTGCTGTTGCGGAAGCGCCTCTACAACAACCTCCTCTTCCACCGGCTTCTCCCGCCTCAACGGATCCTGGGGCTCTTCTTGCTGCTTTGCTCTGAGACAATTGGTCTTATTGAACTCCTCACGGGGCACAACTAACGCTTTGTAAAACTTGTTTATATATAATATATATGTCAAGCTTGCACCCTCATGCGTCCTATAAAAGGTATTAAAAAAATGTGCGTGGGGGTAATCTTCAACGACAAAATGCAAGGGTTGGCGAGAGGAATTGGGAAGCATGGCAGAGCACAGGTCTGGTAGGCTCTTTTTCGCGATTCATTTATACATTTTTTTTGAGGGGTTAGATTTGTAGGGCGGCTGTGGGCTTGGGAAGGGTTAGAGTATTTTACCTTTTTTTTTGAGTTTTAGGGTATTTTACATATATATATTTTTTTCTTTGGATTTACTACTTCAGCGGTTTTACACGACTGGCTTCTCTGCTTGTGTAGCATGGCGGATTGATTGTAACTATTGCATTGGTTTGTCCATATCATATTATTGTATTTTAGGCTCATTATTGGTTCCGTAATTTTGTTTGGTACAAAAATCATGAAAAAAAATGCCATACTTTGGAGTTTGGATTAGAATAAATTTGAAAGTATTCCCATCCTTGTGGGAATCACTCTGCGTGAATGTGGTTGGTCCGGGGTTTAGATTGGTCGGGTTCTGATCGCCTATTTGTGATAACTGTATACATAACCGTTATGGTTTTGGCCCCGGTTCTTTGTCTTGTGGCCAACAGTTTTGAATCGTGTTCTTTATCTGATTCGATCGGAGCTGGTTTGGTTTATTGTCAGCTATTGGTTTGTCTGAATGTGAAGGCCGTTTCCCGGTCTGGTTCATTTGCACAGTAAGGAATACTTCATGCTCCCAATTAAATCTCAGTTTGAAATTTTCAAGTTTATGAAATATGCTGAATACCGAAATGTATTATTGAAATATGTTTTGATGTGAGATAAAATAGTTTGAGCCACATATTATCTTTTTTTTAGGAAAAATGATGAGTGATTTTTTTTTGAACGAATGAAGAAAATTTAAAGCCATTTGAATATGAAGCAAATTGTAAAGCAACTTGAAGCCACATATTATCTTCTTTTTTTAGTATGACAAAATGTATAACTCAAAATTCAAGTAAAGGAATAAGATTCACGAAGAAGATGTTTGCTTGAACCAAAATCAAGTTGAGGAGATTGAAGGCTTTAAAGGTCTTGAATAGAGTCAAGGAGGAAGACAATAATAAAGTATGATAGCAAATCATATTCTTCCAAATCGTTCGAGGTTAGTTTATATATTCATCCATTTTAAATTAAGTTGTTTGTTTGTTATTCAGTGGGTTAAATTTTATTTATGTTCTTTACTTCTTTTTATTATTTATTTGATAAAATAATATAGTCATGTCACCTTGTTTCATACTATCTCCGTCTCAGAGTATTTGTCCACTTTCATTTTTACACACCATCCAATACACTTCTTTAATCCATTTTATCTTGTAATTTGTATATTAAAAAATTATAGAAAGTAATAATCTATATGTTGAGACAAATCAAACAAGATCACACATGACTATATTTAGGCTTACACATTTAGAAAATTTGATGAGTCAAAGTGCTTAGATGAACAGTTCCAAAAGTCAAAATTGGACGAATACTCCGGGACGGAGGGAGTATTTTTTTAAATATTTTTTATGGAATAATATACAAATTTTACTTTTTAATTCTATTTCATTCCTCAAACACATTTGAATTGTGAATAACCTCAGTTAGATATCGTAAACCGAAACAGCAAAGGGAATATAAAAAGTGAAATTTGCATTAAATAATACTAAAACATGTCATTTCCTAATGTAATACTTAAATTTTTTTATTTCCTAAACAGTACTTCAATAATGTCTAATGATGGTGGACATTTAGATTGAACAATATCCAGTGGCAGTAGACATTTACTTGAACAATGACCAGTAAATAATGACTAGTAGTATTACATTGAAAAATAAAAATATATGGTAATACATTAAGAAAGTCACTATGTTTTAGTATTATTTAGATAAATTTTTCATATAAAAAAGTCACATGACATAAAATATCAATCGTTTTAGGCTGTTTTATCAGTAAAGTAATCGAATACTACTTGAAGATTATATTATTCATATGGTTAAACCCATCAAAAATTAATTTTGGAATTGTTGGTTATCAGTTAACTCTAAGACTCATTGATTACTCAAAAGTAAAACAATCAACTACTCAATTTGAATGAAGACCATGTTCTGAGATTTGAAGAAAATTGGTTACTCGACTAATTGATTACCGTGAGTGAAAAAGTCAATTTAATTAAGAACAAACAACTCTAAAACCTTTGGTTTGAAAACCCTTTAAGAAGTTAACTCCTTTTGAAAGAGATGAATTTGAATGTTAGTCTTTCCCATACTCTTTAATAATAGTTCTAAGCCTTACAGCATTTACAATGGAACAGATTTTCGCCCCACGCCAAAAATAGCCTAAAAAATGAAAAAAAATCCAGATGTGGCGCGGCAGGTTTTCCCCCTCCCACTCCAAATGCTCTTAAAAACCTGAAGATACCAAACTTAAAATTTTTCAACCTTCTAATCTTGTTCACATTTCAAGGTCTCTTTCAATTGGCATTGTTCTTAGGATCTATCTTTTCTCAAACATTTGACATTATATGAACATAAAGGTCTACATACTCTAAACATATTTTTCTTAATCTAATAACGCACAAAGAACCTGATAAATTTTTTTTATCAATTCTAAAGAGTCGACTTCCTACTATTCAAACTAGTAAAAAAGTTCAATCAATTTTACAATTAACTATTGTTATTCAAAAAATATATGGGATTTTAGATACTAAATGCTAGGGTAGTAGGGTACATCTTAATAATAAAATATACTAAAATCTATCTAAAATTAAAACAAATTATAAAAAATGTGAGAAAATCTAAAAATATGAATACATCCATTTGACCATTATTACTCCAATTGGAGCCGTCAGACTCTCCGACCTCCGTCCGTTTGTAATTTCCGGTAAGCTTCTCATCTCGGCCAACCATTCTTCAACCGTTCCTCTCAACAGACCTAATTGCTTGTGATATTACTCGTATATTTTTGGTTTAGAAATCACATTACTCCGTATGTATTTTCATTCTCTTGAAGATAAACATGAACCTAAGGAGTTTAAACCTGCATTTCGTTTATCTTCTTATATAGTTGGATTTGGCATGTGATCAAAAGTACTTTTGAATGTAATTATTATGAATTGGAGTGATATATGCTAGTTTGCTGATTTGAAAGAATATAATCTGAAACCCCTAGAAGGATTAATCCGGCCTGAATCACACCAGTTGTGCCAGAGGAGGAGAGTTTATGAGCTCGGAAAAAGAACCACCGCGGTGGCGGAGGCTGTCGTGCTCGGCCTGTTTTGACGCACTCTGGTTCTGCTACAGTATGTCATTTCCTTTCTTCAATTTCAGATATTCGTCTTCATACTTAATAGGGTGTGCTCTGTCAGTTATTGTTTGCTTTGCGGGTAACAAAATTAGGGTTCTTGAAGGAATGAAATAAGTAGGAAAATGGTTCGAAATCATGTAGTAGGGAAATGGAAGGAATGCATGCTTGCAAGATTTTCTTTCTGCTTGGAGACTTGAACACAATCACGTTTTGATAAGAGTGTATGGAAATTGAAGGAATGCATGTTCGCAAGATTTTCTTTTTGTTTGGAGACCTTAACGATCACATGATGATGAGATTCGATATTTTAATTACGTTGTGATTAGTGTTGTTGAGATTTGATATCTTAAGATGCTAATTTTACACATGATGAATTTTTAACTTATCTGACTGTGAATTATGTTTGTGGCAGCACCTGTTCATCAAATGCAGCAGTACTATAGGTTGGGTAAGCTTGATAACTGTTATGATAAATGGAGTGCTCTTTATGATTGCCTGAGACTAAAAACAAAGCGGCAAGCTGAAGTTGAGGTAAGCTTTCAAGCTTAAGATGCCTTGTAATTTTTGGTTATGTTCTATTTCACTCTTTTTACTTTCCACGGCTCTTATATTGAACTATAAACCAGAATGTGCTGAACTAAAAGTTGCTGCGGCTTCAGACAATTGAATAAGTAGTTTAGCAAATTTATGGTTGTAAAGCATGGTTTAAAAAAGCGCTTTTGAGGCGCATTGAGGCTTGCATCAATGTGAGGCGTTCAGAATGGGTATCAAGGCTTAACCCCTGCTTGCATGATAAGAGGCTTACGCCCCTATTGAATCAACACGTATGCCTTGAGACTCACCTCAAGGCATTTTTTGAGGCAAGAGATTTTTTTTTGTCCATATATTCTTTCTAAGCTCTATAGGGTTAAATATGAATATAGAGCTATAAGATATAGAGATTTTTCCAAAGGCCCTACAAGTCATGATGATTCTAAATAGACTTCTGCATTTCCATATTGTGTTGATCACTTGATTGTGTGTTTGTAATGTGTTTGTGCATTTGAAGATCCATCTTAAACTATGGTGTCTGATCATGTCTTGTGTTTGACCATTTCTGTTCATTATCTGCAAATCTTTAATTGGTACTTCATACTCTGTGGTAGTAGGTAACATATTAAAGTTGTAATATGTTGGTATTTTGTTTTGAGGCTTATGCTTCAAAGCTCTTAAAGGCTTATCCTTAGCCTCTCCCAAACACTGTCTTGAGATCCGAACTAGACTTTGTAAACCCCGGTTTTCCGACAAACTGAGGCATATAAGAGTACCATATCATTAGTCTGGATTATGTTTACCATTAGCGCTTTGAACTTATCTGAACATGTTTATTAATAGTAAAAAACATATAAGAGTATGTGATATCATCTCTCCTTTCTCTTGTATTTCTTGAAACAGGAAATTTTGGAAAAGCGTGAGAAAACCAAACCTCACATATGGTCTTTTCGGACACCAGAAGAATCTTCCTCTCATTGGCAGAACCTTTATGGGCATATGCATGAAGACGAGTGAAATACACAAGTTGGCCATTTCTTGGTTTTTCATTTACCATTCTAAGCTCAAATAATCATGGTAGCTGTTAACTGAAATGCAACCCGCGGGCAAGATGCAGTTAATGGCCAGTGTCTGGTAAGCCTTAGCCATGTCATCTGAATTTTCATTTTATTTGAATACGAATCACGAATCGAATTTAAAATATTTGATTTGTTTACATCCCTAGGTTGAGGTGAATGTTTCGGTTTGTGAAAGTTCTAATGCTTTTTTGAACAAAAAATTGTTTTAGAGAATATTAAACATTGCTTGTGTTGCTGCATTCAGTAAAGTCCTATAATGAACACAATCTGTCCAGTGCCTGTTTGATGGAGTACCACTTTTTTTCTTATTAGTCGAATCTGATAAATTTGATACAAAAAAGCACTCCGTCCGCCCTTAAAAAAACACCTAGTAGTCCTTTTCAAAGTTTTTCTTCGTCCTAAAAGAAGAGTCAAATTGGTTTCAACAAAAGTTAACTTTCAGTATGTGCAGTATTGTTTGGATTAAAAAAAGTATGTCAATCAAGTTAAATATGTTAATTTAGTCAAATCAACAAAGAAAACAAAAAAAACCACAATTGATTATTTCAACAACCATACTTTACTAAAGTTAAATATTCGTACCTTAATAAATAATGATTTTTTATGAGACAGAGAGAGTACAATATAACTTACTACTTGCTAGGCGGCATTAAGTCTGGATGGTTCTTTAAAAAGAACATAGCAGTATGTTTCCTTAGAAGAACAAAAAGATGTTTACAACTATTATTATTTCACACATTATAACCTTCTTAGCACATCAGTTAAGCTTCTAGTTAATGAAGAAATCCTGACAGTAATCACACATTAGCTAAAAAATGTATAGGTTTTAGCATCAAGAATGATCTGTCTCACTGCAGCAACTGCTGCAATGACTCCCAAGATGGAAAAGACCACTGCTATTCCCACATTTACCCAGAAAATGACACTCTTCTTTGAAGGTTTGAATGTCAGGTTGAAGAAAACAACCGGCAACACAAAATCCAGCGGCATGAATCCGATTGCACCAATGAGAGCAGCCATGTCTCCATAAAACGGCAGTGTGGCTGCTATTGCAGTGGCAACTATGACCGACAAGGATCTTGTTATTACCCTCGGGATCAAATTCCTTGCCGAAAATTCTTTGCTCTTAGGATCCCCGAACGCCCTTTCTAACATCTCATTTGTTGGTTGCAAGTAGACCTGTCATAGCAAGAACAATTACATGTTTGATAAGTTAGAATGACAATACAGAGTCATTCTAGTCTCCATCTCTTAGGAAATGGAAAGTTATTCTTACCACAGCCACACTACATAGTTGCACGAGGACAAACAAGTTGGAGATCAGGATGAAGGCTTTGGGGACTAAATTTTTCCCATTGTGTGTGAAGTTGTTGAGGATGATTTCCTGGGACTTGTTCCCAAATGCCCAGTAGCCAGAAAGTGTCACACTGAAGAATGTTGTTGTCACTATTGAGTAACAAATACAAAGCCCTTTGAACATCTTCCCTTTCACAGGTGGAGCCAATGTTGCCTATACTAATCCAATATAGCATAATTAGTGATCACAATTAGAACAAATATTTTGCCAAGATTTTGACCATAATGTCAACGTGATTGGGTTGGGGGTTTTTAGGGAGGCAAGAACCACTTCGGAGTTGAATGGTGCGTCATATGGTGTTCAAATTGACTAATGTGATAATATAACAATGGTGGCCACTGTCAAAATAACCGCGGGATCGCGTGGGCATTTCTAATAAACCTGAATCTCGGGAATGATGCCGTTCCCGAACGTTGTGGCGATGATACCCACCGCACTGAACACTCCAAAAACACGTGTTTCGTTATCGCTGCTAAGGCTGTAATCCCTCTTTGGCCCTTTTGATGATAGCCCTATTGCAAAAGACCGATAGCGTGTTACACTTATTAATAAATTCATAAGAATATTTTTTTTGGACCGATATTTAACCGAATTGAACTGAAAATGAGTGAATTGAAGCAGACACACCAATGGAGATTGAGCCAACTGTGGCACATGCGCTGTAGCAGAGGGTGAGCAACAAAGAGAGGAAGTTGATGTGCCTTAGAGAGTGAAATGATGGGAATTGGCCCAAAATCAAAGATGCCACCCCAACAATGTTCACAAACTCATACAGTTTCATGCCCCCTTTTGGATTTGACATCATATAAATTGTCTGCATTAAATATAACTCTCTCAAGCAACCAACTCAATAAAAAATTCAAAGTTATATATAGTTGGAGACATAAGAATACTTTCATTTTCTAACTACTAATTAAGAACAATGAAAAAAAAAAGAAGAATGAGTCAAGTGCAAATCTTCTTCCTCTAAATCTCCATTTGATATATAGTTAGGGCTTATCTTAGCCTAGATTTGCCTTAGATGTGAGATTACTATATATGTACTTGGATAGTGTTGATTTTGGTGAGGAAACACTTCATGAGATTGGGATAGTAAATATCAGAAAAGTGGAGGAGATAAGGTGTGGAATGATAGTTGTGGGAAATAATAACAATATACATACTGAGTAAATTATATAGAGTGTGCTAGCATGTTCAATGCGTCAAGTGTCTATTTTCAAACATGGTTTCCGGTTAGCGTTGTGATCTTTTTGATGGTACGTGCTTACTAAAGCTTTAAATGGTAAAACTATACGTTACTATTAGATGGTTTTTTAAAACGTTAAGGTAATAAATACTGAAATTGTTGTCAAACGAGCACTAAAACAGTCGATCATTAGTTTGTTTAAATAAATCTAAAGTATATAATAAAACATGGAAAGGAATACGTCAAAACTAACATCATATCTTCAAACAATTTCTTTTGGAAAAAAAAATGTTGCAAAACACTAAGGCCCCGTTTGGTACACGGAATTCAAACTATGGAATTGAAATTAAAGATTTCAATTCCAATTTTGGTGTTTGGTAGCACAAATATTATGTGGATTTGGAATTGATAGTGCAAAAAATGAAATGAAATTGGTGGCAATTCTATGGAATTAAATCTTATGAAATTTCAATTCCAATTCTATCAATTCCATATCCCAAACAAACCCTAAAACGTGGTTGGCCTTACGAACCTTAAGGCACTGTCCTCCGAGCAAAATAGAGCCGATGACTGCACCGTAGCACACTAACAATTGAATTGGGCCAACAAAGTATTTGCCCCATTTTGCTCCTGTCCAAATACTTTCTTTAAGTACTGTAATATTTTTTGTTCAAAAAAAAGTACTGTAATACATTTAATTGTTCATTTGATAAATTAAAAAAAATCTAAGCCATTACTTATTTCGTAAAATTTTTGATATATTATTTTAATTATGCACGTAGTAACTTTTTATGTTCAAATTGTAGATTTATTTTCAAACATATTGAATTAAAAAAACTTTCGTCAAGCATGTGTAAATCGAAATAGGACTGGAAAAATACCGAACTAAAGCTATATAACATTTGGAAAAATCTATTTGTACCCTAGACTTGTACCCCATTTTTGTAACCCTAAAGTTCGCCCTGACATTAAATGTAAGTGCCAAACTAATATTATGTCAGTGTTGCATTTACATTTTATGTCAGACTAAACCTTTGTGATTGAAAGTGAAATGAGAGTAGCAAGACCTATAACATTTTCATATATCAAAATAAGCCTCTCAATTGACTTTATATCAAAATAAGAGTTTTAATACCAATATTGTCAAAAGCAAGTGCGGTAAAATATCAAACTCACAATGTCAACATTTGGCGCCTTTGTGTTTAACGGGACGGGTTTGACCGGAGAGGGAGGACCGAAAAGGTTACCTAAGATAAGGGTGGCCATGTCACGGTAGCGGAGGAGGCGGCGGCCGTGATGAGCATTGTGTTCGAGAACAAGTGACGTTAGGTTGTAGGAGTAAAAGGTGACGACGGCGCCGGCGACCAGACAGACGATTCCGGCCACCCATCCCAACATTGCAAATGCAAATGGTAGACTCAGCAACGGCGGCGCCACTATCGATGTTGTCAAGTGGTACCCGCAGTGCCACCATGATCCTGCCGGAACATGCCAACAAAATGTACCGTTTCAACAAAATGTAAATATAATTAATTAATTAATTAAAAGACAATTTATAGACATTAATGCTCTGTTCCTTTGAATGTTAACTCTTAACCCTTCCAACATTTCTAACTCTTAATTTCTTCTAATTTCTTTCATTTTTTTTCAAGCATTCCAATTTTTTCGACTTCTTGTTTCTTCCAACTCTTTTCAGACTTTCCATTTTATTCTAAATCCTTTCACTTTTTTCAACTCCTTCACGTTTCTTTCAACTCCTTTCAGTTTCTTTCAATTTCTTCCAACAACAACTTTAAATTATTATTAAGGTCTATCATCATCATCATCTCAATAAAATAAAATATTGATTTAGTGTCACAGTTTATTAAAAAGCATCATCATCATCATCTCAATAAAATAAAATATTGATTTAGTGTCACGTGAATTTTTAAAATATTAAATAAAATAATTTATTATCCTGCGTGATTTTGAAATTTTTGTTAGCTATAGGTCAGTTTGGGAATAGCGTTAGAGATTAGCATTAGCGTTTTGGATAAAATTTTAACGGTGTAGATTACTTTGAAAACGCTAACGCTAAACGCTGTTCGTCGATGGCCTTTTCAAAACGCTAACGCTAATCGCTAAAGCTATTCCCAAACAGGCCCTATGTTTCTTTAAAACGTGCTCTAGTCAACATTTTAAAATTTTGAAAAAAAATAATTATGCAGTCTATTTCTTTAATAAAGTATTACATAACCTTTAAATGTTCATGCACTAATAATTTTTATAATGTGCATGTTCTAAGCATATGCAAAAAAACAAATGTTCTTACATCAATTTAATATGCAAAGGTATAATTGTGTAAAATCAATATTGTTTATTTTATATATGTGCATATGTCGGATGTATATTAAAAACTACATCTGTTGCATAAAATTTTTTATTTAACTTTTATAAAATAAAAAGAAGCTAAAAAGAGTAAAAAAATGTGTTTTAATATTCTTGAGACATACGAAAAACAAAATACTGAAAACTTTAACACGAATGAATTGACGCCTTTTATTATGCCACTTTTTCTTTTTCCCTCATTATTTTAGAATTGTAAACTTTTCATAATAAAAAAGAATAGGAAATTTTTGGAAATAAAAATAACTCAAATCCTTGTTAGTGTGTTTGGCTTATCTAAATTACTTTTTGGATAATTAGATAAAAAATATAAATAATGTTAAATTAGTAATTTCTAATGCAAAATTAACAATGTTAGTCTTGAGTCACTTTTGTAACTATTTTGATATATAAAATATAGTGTAAGATTATTTTTGTTTGGCCGAGACATCATTATATTATTCAAGTGTGATCCAATTTTCTTTTAACTAAGTTTAATAAAAAAGTATTGCTTTTTTTCTTCTTATTCTTGTTACATGACTTAGTGACATACAATTGATAAAACAAAAAATTACTCCAAGGGGCGGGGTAGGGTGGTAGGTTTAGGGGGTGGATTAGAGGGGTATGAACCGTCAATTTTATAAACGGAGCACCGAAAGTGCTCCAAAATGACAGTGGCATCGGAGTGTCACCATACTCCGGTGTCACTAGAATCCCACCGTTATTGTTGTTGTTGTTGTCGTCGTCATCATCACATTATCTTAATATTCTAATAGCAGTTAAGATTCTACAATGCAGTTAAACTTAATTGAAGATACTAAATACGGAGTATAGTTTTTACTACTCCCTCCGTTTTTTAAAAGTGTTCCTATTTTGACTTTGTGTAAAAATAAGGAAGTGTTAAATTGTAGTTGACTTCCAATTTTGCCTTTGATGTGATGGGTAAAAGTAAGATGTGATGGATTGAGTATTAGAGAAAAAGTACGATGTGATAGGTAGGGTATGAAAAAGTAAGGGTAAAAGTGATTTTTTAATAGAAAGTGCAAGTGTTTTGTTGGAAGTAAAAAAAATGAAAGAGGAAGAGTTTTTGAGAACGGAGGGAATATATAATTATGTTGAAAATGATTGGATGAATTATTTATATTTATATGTGCAATATTTTATATATTAGAGACAATAAAAAGTAGGTCAAATAAATGAAAGTATAACTTTTTTGTTAGTTGTATCTTAATTATTGGTGATATTACTTGTTATCTACATTTGTTTTTTTACTTTTTGGGTTGTTTTTTTCTTTTTCAAAATGTACTTCTCTCTTGGTTTTCATATTGTAGTACTCCCTACCTCATTCTATTATTATATTTTAGATTGAAATATTGATGTTTCCCTTATATAAATTTAGATTAAAAAAACATTCTATGTAACTATTTTATCCATAATTTTTTTTAAATAGTTTAAAATATTGATGTTTTTCCTATTTGATCATGTAGATTAATATACAAAAACTGAAATTATTCAAATTAAAAAGTTGAAGAAAAATAATAATCAGTGTGAATCATAAAAATAGTGATATGAAAAAAATAATAATTTATAAACTATAGTTATGAACATAATAGTTGTAATAATAATAATAATAATAGGGGAAGGTTCCCATGACATTGGGAACCAATGTCATGGGATGACCCGAGGGCGCTCCGATGCCCCGTTTGTAAAATTGACGATTCCTACCCCCCTAACCCCCCCGGTAAAACCCCCCCACCCCACCCCGACCAGAACACACCCCCCCCACCCCCTTCATTTGCACTCCAAAAAGACTGGCGCACCACCATTCAAAAATCACTCCCTCCGTTCTAAAAAAGATTCCTAGTTTGACCAATTATAAAAATAAGAAAGTGTTGAATTACAGTTGACTTTTAATTTTGTCCTTGATGTGATGGGTAAAAGTAAGATGTGATGAATAGAAAATGGAAGTATTTTGGAAGTGGAAAAAATGAAAGAGAAAGTGTTTTTGAGAATGGATGGAGTAGGATTTTTGTTTATTTGTGTGTTTTCATTGATTATTTAATAAAATAAAATATTATTTTCAACAAAGACTTTTATTAGAAAGCAATAATAATAATATTAGTAATAATAATTGTAATAATATCTCCTATTACAAATAAAACATCTATGTAATTTTATTGTCATTTTTTGCACCCGCAAATACAATATTACCTTAAATGTGGTATTTTAGTGTTATTGAATCAAAAACATATGTTCATACTTTTCTGGGTCTAATCCTCCTATATACAATGGTAAGATGAGCTTATGAACAGTGTTCCCGCCTAAAGTGTTGGGCCGAATCCGTGGTAATGGGCTACTGTCCGTGGGCCAAAAATTGGTCATTTTTATTTGGCAAATTTCTTGGGTAATGTGAGTAGATTTCTTGGAAAGAGTTGGAATGATTCTCTTCAAGTACAAAAATTACTTTTTGTCTAATCAATTTATTTCTTCCATAAAGTTGCATTGGGGAAGAAAATTTAGTGGCTCCATAAATAGATTTGATAAAAAGTTACTTTTAAAGGTTCCATAAAGTTGCATTGGGAAAAAAATTGAGCGGCTCAATAAAGTAGATGAAAAAGTAACTTTGTGTCAAATCCATCCATTATATCTCATACCAATCTCACAAATCCTGATAGTATAAATAATAGGCCATTCTCTGATTCAACAACACCACAACTCCTCACGTTCTCACTTTTCTATTTCTCATTCAATATTTCTATTTCTCATTGAGCATCCAGCCCTCCACATCAATGACAAGTTAAAGACAATGATGTTTCCTTCTATATAGCACGTACACCACGTGTGTGTGTATATATATATATAATAATTAAAATATAGGCTCAGATTTTTAATCCAGGTTTAAGTTTGAGGCAGTATAAGAAACTAAATCGCCATGGCTGCAACAACGAAGGTTAATTTCGTTCCGCCACGCCAAGATACATTCATTTTCTTTGATGCCTCAAACATTAAAATCATAAAAATTCACCATAACGGATTTTAGTCCTTGCATATCATCACAACCCATATATATATATATATATATATATATATATATATATATATATATATATATATATATATATATATATATATATATATATATATATATAGATTTTGGTTCAAGTGAGAATGCAATCTTATGAAAGAAATAAGAATGAATCTGGTGCTTTGGATTGTGAGATCTAAGGGTCAGGATTGCATCAAAATTAGGTGCACCAAAATGATCTAAAAATGCATCATGTCGAAATGCACTAAAATCCTTCAAAAATGCACTATCCCAAAATCTGAGTGCAGGATGCAATCTGAGCCGCACGATGCATCAAATCCAAAGGTTAGATTTTATTCTTATTTCTTTCACCAAGGTGCATTCTCACCTGAACCGCCCCATATATATATATATATATATATATATATATATATATATATATATATATATATATATATATATATATATATATATATATATATATATATATATAGACGTGATATAATTAAAGGAGCATATATATATCCAGTAAAGTAGCCAAAGGTGAATAATTAAAAGAGTGTGTGTGTGTATATAGGAGAGAAATTGTTCAATGCTCCAAATAACACAATAAGAATGGAGAGAAATTGTTTGAACAACAAATTTTTCCAAGAAATGGACAACTTATTTTTGTAAACCGGTTTTAAGATTAAGCAATATAAGAAATGAAACCGCCATGGCTGCAACAACGGGGGTTTATTCCATTATGCCTCGCCATGATACGTTCATTTTGTTTGATGCCTCAAATATTAAAAGCCTAAAAATCACAGAAGTTGTAGAAAATAGTTCCCAAAAAAATAACAAAAGTTGTAGAAAATAGTTCACAAAGAAATAATTCCACAAACATCTATTCTTCTTGGATAAAAAATGATGAAAAAAAAATTTATTCGAGAACCGAAAGGATATTTAAAAATTGAATTATATAATTAAAAGTTTAAATGTTTAAAAGTTTAAAAGTTTAAAAATTGAATTATATAATTGATATATATAGATCTAATAAATACATATCTAAAGATCTAAAGAATATATAGATCCCGTAATGTAAATCGG